TAAACTGAGATAACAGAAAAGAAGGCTCTAGTTTATAAGCGATATAAACAGTTTTATAAACAATGTGTTCTATAAGCATACAAGTGAAATAACTCATACAGATTCCCAGAAGAAGGGTAAGTATTACGTAAAACGAATTGTGTTGAGAATTTAACGAATACAAAACGAAACGAAAAACGAAAACGAAAAAAAAAATTATAGCACTTTGTTTACCGGAAACAAACGTAAAACAGAGATTGCTTTAATGTAACATATATATCATTTCAGTATCAGCTGTGTTGAGATGCGTGTGTGTGTGTGTGTGGTGTGTGTGGTGTGTGTGTGTGTGTGTTGTGTGTGTGTGTGTGTGTGTGTGTGTGTGTGTGTGTGTGTGTGTGAGAGAGAGATAGATAGACGAAGTAGATAGATAGAGATCAAGATATGAAAGATAGGTAGATAGAATAGTAGGTTATAGATAGATAGTATATATAGATAGATAGATAGATAGATAGATAGATAGATAGATAGATAGATAGAGAGAGAGAGAGAAAGAGAGGAGCGAGAGATTGACAGACAGACACACAGACAAGGAGGCAGACAAATAACACCAGACACATAGAACGACAGACCGATAAACCAATAAAAGATAGACTGACATTTATTGACTGATGAAAAGATAGACAAATATATAACAGATAAAATAAATGAATAAAGATAGAGAGAGAGAGAGAGAGAGAAAGAGATAAAGGGCAGGAGATAAGATAGACCGGAAAGAGATTTGAAAGTTGAATTGTGAGTGAATGTAAAAGTTATTTCTGTACGAACATTTTGGATCAATGTTTGCGTGTGTTGGGTGTGGAAGTTTTGTTTATATTCATCTTTGTATGTTAATAAGTATACTTCTAAGATTATTTGCACGGATGTATGTATGAATGAATATGGGTGCATATATTTATACATATACATATACATACTATACATATACATATATATATATATATATATATATATATATATATATATATATATATATATGTATTATATATATACATATTATACACGCACACAACACACACACAACAAGACACACGCACACACACACGCACACGACGCACACGCACACCGCACACGCACACGCACACGCACAACAGCAGCACAGCACACACACACACACACACCACAC